CCAACTACATACTTCTAAACACAAATGATTACATGCAGTATTCTACCATATTCAAACTTATATTATTAAAAGATTATACTGACTACTAAGTACAATTTTCCATTGACAGACTGCATCAAGGCCAAGAATAAGACAAGGATTATTTTGAACTGTCAGTCATGCAAAGCTTCTCTATCAGAGGCCAGTAATGTCAACATTGAGCTGGAAATGAGCATAACAGAATATTCAGCCTGTGCATCCGTTTTGAAGACTCTCCAGCTTTTAGACAGTTTTGATTTCTCTTTGTTATTGTGGACACCACTAGAAAAAAAGCTCATGCAAAAGCGTGCAAGATTCATTATTACCACATCTGTCCTTAAGAAACATGAAATTCTCAAACTTTTTTTTAAGGCAACAGTTCTGTTGTGTTAAAAAGCTATAAAGCATGGCTTGATTGCCTGTAGTCTGCTTACTGTGGCTGAATAACATTTTAGGACGGTTTTGTTGTGGGTTTCATATTAAGAGGAGCTTTAAGTCTGGCATTTCATAAATATTTAAGGGATGAAATGAGAAACTTAGTGGAGAAGAACCAACCTGTTTGGTGACATCAACCCTCCAGGGATTCACCTGTAGTCCATCACACCAGCCTCCTCGGCCGTACAGCCATGTGCCGTGTTCGTTCGGTACAGCGCCCTCTTTGACGCGCATTGCACAGCCCAGAGCCGTTCCTAATGGTCCCAACATGACATTAAAAGCGTTTGATTTCCGATTTGCACCGACCAGTTTATTTTTAAGGCTTTAACAAGCACCTTGATAAACAATCCTCAGGTACATTTGTAGGTTAGCTCATCAGCAGAATATTTTTTAAAATTAAAAAGAAATGTAAAGTTTGAGGATTTCAAATTGATTTTTGTGGATAGAGTATCTATCTAGTATTTTTAATTTGGACGGCAGGACAAAATTAAACTTGTCCTGAGGACTCAGACCACTGATAACTATAACATCTAAAATCTTTAGCAGTCATGCAGAAAGCATCTTTTCCTCACCTGCAGAATCAAATACGTGGGTGTTGTTATAAGCAGCGTTGATCACGAAATGGTGGGAGGTGACACAAAATTCTCCGCAGCCGTTCTCGTCGCTGCCGTGTCCTGTGATGACAGCGTACAGCTCCACCTGAAAACAGACATGCAGCCAATGGGATCCTCCACAGACAGTTGTAAACAACTAGCAAAGACTGTATGTAAAAGATGGACGTAGCCACCGTGACTTCAACCTTAAGGACTCTGAAGATATATTACATTGAAGCCTTGAGCTGCGTTTTCACCATTAACTTCATGGCGTTTTTCTTGAATAACTGTTTAGCTTATAAATTAAGTTAGCAGTAGGGATATTTTCTCCATAGACTTCTATCCAGCCTGACCCCTGGTGGCTAGGGGTGCAACGATACTCGTATCAATATTGAACCGTTAGATACAGTGCTTTCGGTTCAGTACGCATATGTATCGAACAATACAAATTTTTTTAAATTTATTTTAGATGCTGTCTGTGTTGAACGCTCAGTGGATCTGCGTTCAACTACTCCGCCTAGGCTGCAATGTCGAGCGCAGATCCACCGAGCGCAGCGCAAGCTAGCAAGACAGAAGCAATGCTTGTTGCAACATGGCAAATTGAACCTCCCCCACCCTCATTCAGATCT